CGATTTCCCGGGTTTCGTACGTGGTGTTCCATCTGTACGGGATTACTGTGCGTCGTTTGGGATTGGAGCGGGCATCCAGCCTGGCCGCTGCCTCTATTTCCTTGTTCTAGCTTGTGGCAATGTCTTTGAGGTTTAGACAGTTCTCATCCAATTCCTTGTTCTGGTCCCGTAATGCATTGACTTGTGCTTCGAGAATGGCAGCTTGTTTGTTGAGCTCGTCCACGGTTTCTGTGTCCCCTGTGGTCTGGTCCCTGTGTTCATCTGTCTTTGAGTTGCTTGTTGTGTTTCTTTGCCTTTTGACTCTCTTTCTTGTGTTTTTTTCTTCATAGGTTTTGGGTCATGCGAAGTGTTGTACATCACTGCTCAGATCCACCCTGATCTCATCCTTCTCGACCTTCGTTTTCAGATTGTATTGTGTTGCATATAATTCGTTGATTTCCCTTTCTTTCTCTAGCACTTCAAACCTGTTTCCCATGCTTATGTCATTGGCCGTTGTCATCACTGCTCTGAGATTTCATATATGTTTGTGATGGGTCAATCTTACTTCTAATTCCACTGTTCTTGCTCTCTCCAGTGACCTGGCGTAATGTTGTACGTATTCGCGGGAATCCACCTCCTCCTCCTCCATATTCGTGTCCTCCTTCAACTCGTCCTCAAATTCCTCGTCGTCCTTCTCGGACTGCTCCTCATCTTCTTCCTTGGAGGACAAGGTTGCGCTTGACCCTGATCTATCCCTTTTCTTACCCTTTCCTGAGGTTAGAGAGCAGTCCATGTTCTCCTCCCCTCCTTCCCGACCGGCTGTCTTTTCCCGAGGAAAGGAATCTTCCTTGATTGGTGCTGCTCCGTCAGTTGGTAGGGCCCTGCTCTCTCCCTACAATGTGCTTCATTGCTAGTGTGTTAGCCCCCATCCATTTCCATATCTGCCGGTAGGACACTTGCCAGTCCTACCGACTTTTGCTTCCTTTTCCCCGTTACGCTAGCCTCTACTACTCTTTCCGATTCATCCAGTTTGCACGTCAGAGATCCATCGATATGGAGACTGTCCTCTCCAAGGGTTTTGGAGGCTGTGGATTTGGGCATCGAGCAAGTTGAGTCCAACTGCAGCTCTTGGGTTGTTCTTGCCCTTCGGTTTTCCAGGTAGGCCTTCTTTGTGTTTTGCCCAATTTCGTGCATTTCCTTCATTGATTTCAGTCTTTGGTTTTCATCTAGCAGTCCTGCTTTGCAGATTACCCGTTCCGTACGGAAACCGGTGTTCCTGTCCTCCATTCGCTTGGCTCTTACAAACCTCCATTTGTTGTCGTAGGGAGGGCAGATGTCTGGTTTGAACTTGGGTTCACCCTGTAAGACCCAGATCCACTTGAGGTTTAGAAGGTTATCATCGAAAATCCAACCTCTGAACTGAGCATTGTTAATGTACCATACCCCGAGTTTGACATCGCATTTGCGAACATTGATTGTCTGAACACTATCTTTCTTCCCTTTTCACCCATCTACGGACAATTCATGCCAAGGTGGCCCTTTTTTCTGCAATGGAAGCAATAAGGATTGGTTTTGGTGGAGATGAAGATTGTGATGCATTGGTTATTCTTCTGGAAGATCCAAGTGTCTGGGAAATTCGGTGTCGTGCCTAAAGATACCGAGAGGCATGCCACTCTCGTGTCATGGTTAGGTGCCATGTAAGTCAGGTTTGGCTGGTAGCCAATCTATGACGGGGTTGTTGGGGAATTCCTCCTACAACCTTTTTTGTACGAAGCTGTGCATTCCTTCGGACAGGTTGTCGAATTGCACCCAGAAGTGGTTCCGAAGCATCACCTGCCTGTGTCAGGAGGCTTCTGCCTAAGGTTCCGTCGGAGGTTTCCATCTCTGGATTGTGACTACCAAACCCTTGCACTTCAGCGAACCCAGGGAGATAAGGAATTGGGCATAGGAAGGATCAACGCACAAAATCATGACTGTGTATCTTCCTCTTTTGTGGTAGGAGATATCCGGTTCCGTGCCAGGTATGTTCTCCATTTCCCCGAGCTTGTCCATCACCCATTTCCTTTTTTCATTAAGCGATAAATCCCTATTTTTGTTCGTGAAATTAAAGAGCACAGCGAGCTTTTCGTAAACCTCATTTAGAGATTGTAGATCCTGCGTAGGATATTCCCACACTTCCACTTTCACCTCCTGGCCATTTCCATCTTTGATTGATTCCTTTGTTTTGGTTATCTCCGCCTTAAACTCAGTTTTGCTCATCAGAAATTCTAACGCCCTTTGTCCCAAGGGTTTGTATGTTGTAGTGGTCCGCCTGTCTTTGTGAGATCCTGTCGGGGCTCTCGAGCTTCGCTGGAAGGAGATGAGGTAGCGAATGGAACGGAGGGGGGGGGAGAGGGGTGATAGCCAGACAGTGTGCGAGTGAGGAAAGAGTGTGTGGGTGGGCGATGCGGGCAAGGTGGGTGTTAGGGTGTCCTATAGATGACAGGGTCAGGACAGTAGGTGGGGGTGTGAATGGACGAATGTTAGGTAGTTGGCCGGTCCGCTTGTTCCCGATATCTATGCTCTGCTTTGCATCCTTCGATAGCTTGGATACAAGCGGTCGTGGGACATAGGACTTGAGCTAGAGCGGTCGGATTCGCTACTTTGTCTATGTTTCTGGTGGCAGTCGAACTCGAGTCCTATTTTTGCCCCAAATATTGAAGCTACTGCTTTGTTCTCATCCTACCGCAAATGGGGAAGAGGTTACTACCACTAATCGCAGAATTCTGTGTCGTTTCTACGTTTCCTGAATAGGAGCTATCCCGAAGTAGTAACGGAGATGCCTTTATTCCCCTTCCTCCGTTGTTTCGAGACGATGTCGTTCCTCTCCTCATGAGTGCTTGTCCCTTCACTTGTCCTGACGTCTTTCTCCCTGTGTCTCTTGAGGTCGTCGAGGACGGTGGGAAGGTCGCTCGTTCTTACCTTTGGAAAACGGGGCAGACTCGCTCAAACCTTGCGGATCTTACTATTGATGTAATGGCCGGTGCGCCGCTATCCTCGTCCACTCGTGATGATTCTTGCGTGTATCGTCGTTGCTTGCCCTTCTCCTATGTTAGGTAAGATTTGCACTCATTTCTCTTTTCGCTGCTTTTCCGTGCCCCTCTTGTCCTTTCTTCTTTGGGGGACTTCCTTTCTCCCTCTTCTCCTCTTCTCCACCTCCTTCCCTAGAGTTCTTGTCCAATTCCTCCTCCTCCTCCTCCTCCCCTTCTCTTCCCTGTGCTCGCCGGCCCGTTTCCTCGCCCGGGGTAGCCACGCCCGGAGGCAAGGCGTGATGTGTCGTCGCACACTCCCCCTAGCCTGCTTTCTTGGCAGATTCAAATTTGGATGGAAGATGCACGCGAAGCCGCGCGTGCAGCGGTTTCCCGCGAAAAGCAGGATGCCGCAACATTTCGACGACGTGGCTTAGCGCATTGCGGAAGGCCTCACCGGTACGGCGCTCGGGCTCGCATCACTCTCGGTACCTCATTAGTGTGCTTTCTCGTTCCTAGTGAGTACATGCTCTCATTGGCAATTGATTTCGATGCTTTGGTTCTCCTTCAGTGTAATATCGGTGCAATTCTGCTTCCTGGACAGCGTTCGACTATCCGGCTTTCGATGTGATTTGCAATCTGGAATTCTGTCAATTCGACTCATTTCGCTATTGCTCATTTTCCTTGCAAATGGATTATCTCATTGCTGATATGGATCGGCTTCCGAACTGTATGTGAGACTTTCGCCTCATACGGCTCTTCTCAGAATCTACATTTATATTTGGGTCCTCTTTTGTGTGGTATGCATTTAATTCAAATGTTTCAGTAACCTAAGACTCCAGTAAATTAGGTCACCGTCAAATGGACTCTTGGTGGAATGGACCACTTCGTGTTTGCAGACCGCCATGCCTCACTCATGGAACCAATCAGAACTCCAACAGGGGCATTTTCAGATGCAGTGCCAACCAAGGATGTGAAGATGAAGCTCCGCCATAGCATAAGGTGGGTCTTCTTGTTGGTGCCCACCTTCTTCCTCCTCCACTACTATGAACACCTCGTCTACTCTATGTAGGCCAGTACATGTATTTGCCACCTCCGTCCATAGCCAGCTAACTCCCCCTCTTGCTCCTCCTCACTCCTCCATAGACATGGAGATCTTCTCCATTACCCTCTTGCTCCTCCTCTTCACTCAAAAGCTCCACCAACCTCTCCCTCGAGGTGGAGTAGCCGCATTGCTGGGCGAATATCCGGACTGCTCACAGCACTGAATGAGATCCTCTTGCCTGCTCACTCAGCCTCCCCTACGACCTACCAAGTGTGCTTCCTGGGCTACCAGTTCCTTCCTTTGGATGGGAACATTATTGCAGACTGTAATCTACCCTGCAGGACCCTCGCTTACACCTGATTCGCAGGACCATCACGACTCTACCTGCCATCCTACCAGACTTCAGGACTTACCCAAGTTCCCAAAATGATCTTACCAGGTCCCTAACAAATTCTACTTTTGTCCCTGGCCGTCCTACACTTTCGCGTGAGCCTGTCCACAGCCAAAGTTTCTGTCCTATATCCTTGTAGCTAGGTCTTTTGTAAGTTCTACCCTCCAGGTACACTGAAACACAGCAAAGCACTCAGACTCCGCAATCTCAGCGAATAAGAACACTAGACGGCAATTCACCACACAATTTAGAAATATCGGACTGCAACCGGACGGGCCATTGCATAATTGTTGTTTTCAACTTTACTAATTCTGATCGGTTATCAACTTCGCCAAGGTGACAAATTTTCTGTTCTTGAAAGTGCAAAAAAAAAAAAAAAAGGGTTACCAAAAAATCAGGCCTGGAAATGCTAGTCTTATGATTGATTTGTGATCCATACCAATGGGCTTAGCTCAGTTCACACAACCGTGAACTGTTGAAATAAGGACCCAAGTTCAAATCCATATGAACTACATGATATAAAGAAAAAGGAAAAGGACAAAGACATGTGAAGTTGTGATCCATAATTTATCCATACCTGTACCGCAAGAGCATGCCGGTCGACTTGATTACCGCTTGTTTGAGTAAAATTTTGGTCCCTCTGACCAGTCACTGTAGACCACTCAGCTTCAGAATCCTTAGGCTGATCCTTGTCATTTGAAGAAATATGTCTTTGTGATGGATTAGGGTTTCCACGGTTCTGGTACCCCCCATTGCCCTGCACAGCTGATAACCCAGCCCCTGAGCTACTGGGAGAGCATATGTCAAGATCAGCACCGCGGCGATGCATGACAGGTGGTGCATCTTGAAAGCCGAAATCATCAATTGGACAATCATGCGCCGTACTGAGAGATACGTCATTCTCTTCCTCGTCTCCTGCAGCTTGCAAATTCCTGTAAGCCTTTTCGACAGTACAGAGACCATTGAAAGTCAAGCTTGAATAAGAGTTAGCATCAGGGTTTCAAATCGTCCTTCTCTGGCTAATGACTAGAGCTTCAACTAATCTCTCACTATTGGCCCGGGGGGGGCTGACACACAGACAGACACACACACACACACACACACAGAGAGAGAGAGAGAGAGAGAGAGAGAGAGAGAGAGAGAGAGAGAGAGAGAGAGAGAGAG